ACAAGGCCATTTAGACATTTGAATGTCCGTTTTACAACAGAGAAGTTTATAAAGTTATCGAAACTCAGGAGATTGTACTTCTGTATTTTGCAGTAAGGCCACTTCATTGGTTTTTGACCTTTTAGAGCTTGTTGTACAGACACACGATAGGTTTAAAAGAAAATTGGGTTGTTTGGCTGAAAGCATTTCACCAAACTTAAATGGGAATCTTCCATTTTATTATTTCATGAACAGCAATGGTGCTGTTGTCTGACTATTTCACTGGAAGATCTTCTGCCTTTGGTCTTCTCGGTTTTTAGGTCTACTTATTTTAAATTAAACTCTAAATTTGAGGATTTTATAACAGCCTATATTTTGTAGTTTTGTTGATTAAAACATAATAGGGAACCTAACTGACGCCCATCTACTTCCGGACCATGGGTCCTCCGGAGGAACGAACACACGAATGCAAGTCAATGGGGCTAAAAACGCCATTTTCTAATTTCGCTTGTTACGTGCCATGGATTTCACATATGATGTCCGTGAATTTTAACGAAACATTTTCATACCAAAAAAGTGCTTATTTTCAAATGGAGAGAAAAGTTATTTAGGTTTTGTGTGAAAATAAGTCCAGGACTACAAATGCGCTTCACGAAAGTGACCTTATTGAACCAGACACGGACAAAAACAGAGGGAAAATGGCTGTAGGCTTAGCAAACTTGAAATCCTTCCTTCAGGAGGTAGAAACCACCATAAATCCGGACATGCGGTAAGCAGCAGCTATGCTAGATTCTGTGGTAATGTCATATATGCAGCGTGCCAATGTCTGGCTTGTAGTCACGCTAATTACGAACATTTACAAGCTGACAAATCTCAAAGTACGTGACTGGTGTGGTCGAAACAGCCATAATTAGTTTTCATTTAAATTGCAGTACAACATAGCTCTTTTAGCCCCGTTGACTTGCATTCATTGTTTTGTTCTTTTGGGAATCCATGAGCAAACCGGAAATATCTATGAATGCATTTAATAAAGACACCACCTGCTCGGTGTCTTTCCAAACGTTTTTCATTGCTGACACCACCAAAGAACCATTTCTGTATGTAACTGAAGACAAACCACCAACATTAACAGAAGATAACATAATAACGTGATACAATCATGCTTATTCACAGATAGTTTAGTACCTAGTAGAATTAACAGAACAAAGGAGGACCTGGCACAAGCACATTTAGAAGACAGGAAATCTGGTATCACAGCCGGTAAGATGGTAAAATGTTTACTGTAGGAGGCCATATTTTCAGACATTTTTCACGGTCTCAATTCGCAAGACGTGTGAAAAGTAGGGATGTTCTGATCAAATCAAATCAACTTTATTAATACAGTGCTTTCATACGTCCAAAAGGACAAACAAAGTGCTGTACACCAATATAAACAAAGCAATAAAAACAGACATACATTAAACCACTTAAATACCACAAAAAATTCCCAAGTACAGTTTTAGCTATCCAGACCAGTCTTGTTACCGCAATCAGATTAGATAAATAATCTGAGCGAAACCACCCACTATCAACCGGCCATTGATCATTATTGGCCAATCTTTGTGACAAATATGTGATCAGCAAATTCTGATCAATGCCTTTCACTGCCAATCATACCAGTCACTCATCTTTTGCCACAGGCACACTGTGTGCAGAGTCGCTTGTCCCTAGTATCCTTCGGACTGCATAAGCATGCAGTAGCTAAACAGAAACAAACATGTCTGCAAAACTTTTAATTCATGTACGACAGTGATGGTCAGGGGCTCCACCAGGGATTTTGGGCCCCATGAAAAAAATTACCTTGGATCCCAAGACCGAAAGGACGTAGTAGGGAACAAAAACGATAAACTTGAGCGACGTTTGAAGAGTGCCGCAAACAAGTATTAATAACTTCATATTTGTCTACATGGTTGCCAACTTTTTAATTTTTCCATGCATTAGAGTGGGGGAAAGGAGGTACCATTTCTCTATTGATTTTAGGCCATATTGCCCATTCCTACACTACAATATGTGGCTAGCAGGGAAGAAACAAGTGGCCGGTAGCTGTGGTTTGGACAGGCAGATCAGTGCAGTGACTGAATCAAATTTTTATCAGCTAAGAAGGATCGCCAAGGTTAGGAATATGCTGTCAAAAAAGGATTTTGAAACAGTAATTCATGCTTTTATTGCATCGAGGCTTGATTATTGTAATTCCTTGTACGTTGGCGTTACTCAGTCAAACCTTTCACGTCTTCAGTTGGTGCAGAATGCAGTTGCATGTTTGCTCACTGGGAAGAGAAAGATGGAGCATGTTACTCCTGTCTTGGCTACACTGCACTGGCTGCCTGTTCATTTTAGAATCCAGTACAAGGTACTTTTACGGGCTTTTAAATTTCTGCATGGCCTTGCTCCAGATTACCTCTCTGAGCTATTGGTTTTTCATTCCCCTCTGAGGTCGGCTGACAGGCTGCTCCAGGAAGTCTCAAGAACGAGACGTAAACTCAGAGGTGACAGGGCTTTTTCTGTAGCAGCTCCTAGGCTCTGGAATGCACTGCCTTTGTATATTAGGTCAGCATTTTGTCTGTCTGGCTTTAAATCTCTTTTGAAAACCTATTTTTACACTTTGGCTTTTAACTCAAAATGAGTCTTTTAGTTCCAGTTTTTAATTTTTATGTTGTGCATTGTTTTAATGTGTTTCAATTCTGTGAAGCACTTTGGTCAGTTTTGTACTGTTGTGAGGTGTTATATAAATAAAGTTGGCTTGGCTGGTGGGTTGTAGGTGGCCCTGATCAAGAGTAAAGAACTGCCACCAGAAGTACAAGACTGACATCTAGGATGTAAAAACTACAAGGATCTCATTTAGTGATCTTGTAGTAATATAAGTTCTTTATGTCCTGTGTGGACTCTTGTGTGTCTGTTTAAGTTTTCCTTTCGGCTAAATCTTTGTCCACAGAGCTCACAGAAAAAAGGTTTCTGTCCTGTGTGGACTCTCATATGATTGTTTAAAATCGATTTTCGGCTAAATGTTTTTCCACAGAGCTCACAGGCAAAAGGCTTCTGTCCTGTGTGGACTCTCATATGAATGTTTAAAGAAGACTTACGGCAAAATGTTTTTCCACAGAGCTCACAGGCAAAAGGCTTCTGTCCTGTGTGGACTCTCATATGAATGTTTAAAGAAGACTTTTGGCTAAATGTTTTTCCACAGAGCTCACAGGCAAAAGGCTTCTGTCCTGTGTGGACTCTCATATGAATGTTTAAAGAAGACTTTTGGCTAAATGTTTTTCCACAGAGCTCACATGCAAACGTTTTCTGTCCTGTGTGGTTTCTTGTGTGACTGTTTAAATGTGTCTTTTCGCTAAATCTTTGTCCACAGAGCTCACAGGCAAAAGGTTCCTGTCCTGGGTGCACTCTTATGTGGCTGCTTAAATGTTCCTTTCGGCTAAATCTTTGGCCACAGATCTCACAGGCAAAAGGTTTTTGTCCTGTGTGGACTGTTATGTGGTTGTTTAAAGTTGACTTTTGGCTAAATCTTTGCCCACAGAACTCACAGGCAAAAGGTTTCTGTCCTGTGTGGACTCTCATGTGACAATTTAAATGTGTTTTTTGGCTAAATGTTTGCACACAGAGCTCACAAGCAAAAGGCTTCTGTCCTGTGTGGACTCTTTTGTGGTCGTTTAAATTTTCCTTTCGGCTAAATCTTTGTCCACAGAGCTCACAGAGAAAAGGTTTCTGTCCTGTGTGGACTCTCATATGAATGTTTAAAATCGATTTTCGGCTAAATGTTTTTCCACAGAGCTCACAGGCAAAAGGTTTCTGTCCTGTGTGGACTCTCATATGAATGTTTAAAATCGATTTTCGGCTAAATGTTTTTCCACAGACCTCACAGGTAAAAGGTTTCTCTCCTGTGTGGACTCTCATGTGGTCAGTCAAATGTGATTTTCTTCTTAATATTTTTCCACAGTCATCACATCTGAATGATTTTGGTTCTGTCGGGACTTTCCTGCAAGAGTCTACACGTGTCTTCACTCGAAGACATTTTTTATTAACTAAACAGCCTGAAGACCCTATTGCTGAATGACCTGTTACTCTCACATGTTTCAAGAGAGCCCTCTTGTGGAGAAAATATTTACCACACTCAGGGCAGCTAAAGAATTTGTCGACAATCTTAAAATTTGATTCAGAAGGCCTACTCTCATTCCAGTCATTGCCGTCATTATCAGTTTCAAACCCAGTGTCTGATAGCTCAGAGTCTAGATTCACATCACTCTCTTCATCATCTCCACTAACTTCAGTCTCTGAAGAATCAGACGGCTGTTCATGAGGGTTCAGGTCTGGGTTCCAGCTAGTTTCTTCTCCTCCACAAGTCTCTGCTGTCATCTGGTCAGCTGAGCTGCTGGTTGGAACACCTCTGTATTCTATTTGCTGCTGATGAAGCTGTGAAAACAGAGGTTTCTCTTCATCATCTTCACTCCATATGCAAACAGCAGTGAATGAAAACCCAGCAGCATCAGCCTCCTCCTTCAAATGGAGATGATCTCCCTCCTGACTGGTCCAGAGTTCCTCCTGTTCCTCCTTTATGGGGGGGTGTTCTGCATCCCGCTGGTTCACACAGACACTCTCCTCATCAGGAGTTTCTTCTTTTACCAGCGCCATCTGTTGAACATCTGTAGGAAACACATTAATATTGAGACTTTTTGTGCTCTACATTTTATTTATTTATTTCTACTCTGTACAGAAGAAGATTAGTGCCACTGACAAGAAAAAAAAGAAAGAAAGAGAATACTTACTTTTTTCTCAGAATTCTGACTTATAATCTTGGAATTCTGACAGGGAATTCTGGGAAAAAAAGTCAGAATTCTCTTTCTTTTCTTTTTTCTTTTCAGTGGCCCTAATCCTCTTTGTACCTCTGACTTTACAGAGGGAACTGGTCTTTAATACAAATTTTCTTTTCGTGAGGAAAATTTAACAATAAACTCTCCTGAACTTCTTCACACTATCTGTCTGTCTGTCTGTCTGTCTGTCTGTCTACAGTAAAGAGTTACAGGAATTTTTAATTATAATGAATGTAAATGTATTAAAATGCCATCTAGGGTTAGGGCTGGGCGATATGGCAAAAATAGAATATCACGATTTTTCCAATATTTTATCACGATTTCGATTTTATCACGATTTTTTATCCATGAATAGCATAACTTCAATTGTGTATTAAAGAAGAGAAACATTGAATAAACAAACATTTATTCATATTAGGGATAATCAACACAGTGCTAACACACTTATATTTTAAACTCACACCAGAGATGATAAAAGCCCTGAGAGAAACAATTACAAAAATCAGTTTTTCTCGTTTTTCAAGTAACTTAACATAAATTAAAATCGTAAACATATTTAAAGTGCAAGCATGTCAATTGCAAACGTATTGTGCAAACATTAACTTGTTCAAAATACTACGTAGCTCCCAGTTGCTCATGTAGTGGATAGTTAAGCTCAAATAAGGCTCTGATGTGCGGCTGGACCAGAGATCGCTTGTGGTAATTGTGCATTCTGAATATTGTCTGCAACTCTCACTTTGCATTCAGCGTACATGCGTGGAATGGCGGTGTTCGAAAAATACTTGCGGCTGGAAAACTCGTAGCGCGGATCCAATGTTATTATCATTTTCTTAAATCCCACTCCTACTGTTCGCACGGGACACGAATCTTTAACCAAGTGGTACGTCACTGCGTCTGTCACGCTGTTCCATCGTCTGCTGTCTCTGTCGTAAGGAGTGAGTTTTGTGAGTTTTTCTGTTAGCGTTTGCTGCCTGGAAGAAGCGCTAGCCGCCGCAGCCGCTGCAGCCGCAGGCTTTCTAGCTTTAGCTGCCAGCTGGCTCTCATTGTATTGTTTGGGATGCCTTCTTTTCAAGTGATTAAACAAGTTTGTGGTGTTGCCATCACTTGCCTTGACGCTCTCCTTGCAAACTTTGCAAATGACGTTTCGCTGCTCTTTGTCATCTGGTGAAAAACCGAACCAGTTCCATATAATGGATAGGGATGGGTACCTTTGACATTAGAATCGATCCGGTACTAATTCCCGGTACCTACGAATCGATACCGGTACTTAACGGTACCAATTTGATACTTTTGAGTGTTTCATATTTTAATTCTTTTATAATTAAATATATATTTTTCTCAATATATAACAATATTTGATAAATATCACGATAAATAACATTAAACTGTTAGTATTTTAACATCGTCCTTGTAGTTTTATAAGCTGATAATTAACCTGAAGCAAACATCTTTACTGTGAACTAAATTTACTGTGTATCTTCATTCCTTTTGCCGTCTTTGTTCATTTGATTTTTCCTACTGGGAAGTTAGAATTTCCGAGGAGAAAGCGAACGCACCATTAGCTAGGGCTGGGGGTAAACGATTATTTTTAAAACGATTATTCTGACGATTATTTTATCGAATAGTCGACTATTCTAATGACTATTTATACAATTAATCTAATGATTATTTTTCTATTGCACAGTTAATAAAAACCAAAAAATCGCTAATAAATTCCTCCAAAAAATTGATAAATTGTTACTGTAAGAGAATAAACATACAGGCCTTCCATTTTGTATAACACTGCTTTTATTGTGTTGCGGTTGGTTATGTTCTGTTGACGTGTAGAACTTGGGAGAGCAGGCTGCTGCCTGAGAGCTGGTTGGAGACGGAGTGTCTCCATGCTGCTTTGTTTTGGTCACTTATGTGCGGGAGGGGAGTGGTGTTACGACCCTTCCTGGGGAGTTTGGCTCGTGTGCAAAAAGGAAGGGACAATAATGTGGGATTTAAAAGTTAAAATGATGATCAGGTTTATTTACAACTACAAAAAAACATAAATCTTTCCATCCACAGGTTGGGAGTAATAAAACTAATTCTGCCTGTGGGGAATTAAAACAAAAGTACAGATAACTAGGGATGTCCCACTGGGCAAAGATTACTGGGTTTTGGACCAAAATAAGAATCTCCAAAGTTTCAAACTCTAAACTGGGTGGTTAAACCAAACTCAAGGTGATATTTTAAACCAAACCGAAAACCCACAACACTCTAAATGTAATAAAAGGGAGATCTGCACCACAAATTATTATTTTTATATGTGTTCAACATGTTTAAATATCACTTGTTTAATTAACCAACATTTCTAGTGTACAGCGCCTTGTTTGGTTGTAATGCCTTGTGAATGCGCTTTATAAATAAAATTGGATTGGATTGGATTGAAAAAAGATCAACTCTAAACCAAAACGTAACAGCTTATCCAAACGCAAGAAGCTGTTAGCGAAAATGCTAACAGTAGCTTTACCAACGTTAAGTTCAAGTTACCAAGTTTAAAGAAACCAAAAATACCAGCAGCAAACAGACCAGCACGGAGGAGAGACTGCTGCCACCAAAACAGCTCTCCTAATGTCTGAAAGAAGCTCCTTTATGAAGGGAGAAACGCTCCCGGTGATTTTCTGCATCTGCTATAGAGACGGAGCAGCGCATTTGACCCCGGAAGTTGTTGTCCGTTGCCGGGAAACGAAGGCGGGCAAAACAGGAAAGGAACCTAGTAGTGGACGGACATTGTTCCGGGTCTTCGGTATTTGGCGGAGATGTTGCGGAGAAGAGGGCGAACTAGAGGAAAAACAGGCAGATTCCACCTCTATTTACAAACTCCTGGGGATGCAACAAGTGGGCGCGGTGCGTCGACTACCGGATCTGACGTCGACGAATTTTTAGAATCGAGCCGTCGACGTCATCAAGGCTTCGCTACAGCCCTACCATTAGCTGATAACAACGGTGGCAATGGAAGCTAACATATCAAGCTAACGTTATCTTTAACAGTTTATTTAGCTGCTGGAGCAGATTTAAACGATGATGCCTCACACTTAGATCGTTGTTGCTGGTTTCATCTTCACCCAATCATCCATCGCATTTAGTAAAGTGAAGCCAAACTTTAGAGCACGTTCATGTTCATCTAGTCGGAAATTCAGAGTTCCGAGGAGAAAGTGAACGCACCATTAGCGAAACGGAAGCTAACATATCAAGGTAACGTTATCTTAAACATTTTATTTACCTACCGGAGCAGATTAAGATGAGAATGTCTCACTTAGATTGTTGTCTGTCGCTGGTTTCATCATCACCCAGTTACCCATCACATTTAGTGAAGTGGACCCAAGCGTTAGCGTGCGTTCTTTCTACCATGCTGCTCTGTTTACAACTCGCTCGCAGGAACCGACGACATAACGCTCTTGCGTATGCGCAGCTTACTTGGCAAGTTCTCCTTATGAAGGACGGGTACCGAAACGAGGCACCGTTTGAAATGACGTGAATCGGTGCTCGGTCGGTACTATAGAAAAGGCGTTCCTCTTCGGAACGAAAACCTCGTTGTCGCTCAGCCGCGGCCGAAGCCATGTTTGTTCACACACAGGTGAAAACAAGCGGGACACTAATATATTACTATGACTCACTCGATTGGTTAAGGGTCAAACAAAGGCGTGTCATTCGCCTGGGGTAAGTTCCCTTTTCATTCAGAGGCAGAAATTCAACAGCAGAGCTGTGAATCGTGATAAAACGGTCTCTCAAAAATGACAGACCGTCAGATGTGTAGATCGTAAAACGGTCTAAAATCGTCATATCGCCCAGCCCTATCTAGGGGTGGGTAATATAATGTCATTCATAATATTTCCAGTTATTATTTCCTGCCAAGAAAAATAACCTATCATGTTAAGCTAACTTCATGATGTAATTGCATCCACTAAACAGGATTATGTTCATGTGGGTCATCAGCATGAAGTTATTGAAGTTATAAAGGCAAACATGGCTGGAATCAGTTTTACTGTAATCTGTGTCTCTAAGTGTGTGTGCTGCTGTAATGAGTGGATGTCCCCACTGTGGGACTAATAAAATGTACTTTGTTCTATTCTATTAATTCATATCAGCCAGTAGGAAAAAAAACCGTTTGAGGAATTTTGGCCTTTCCAGGCTTCCGTACCATTAACCTGGTTATGGAGGAGGGGTTTGTCTCACAAACAGGAAAAACACACTGATGAAGTGGTGAATTAAAACAGCTGCCAGTTAAATTATTACTTAAGTGTTGTCTGTGTGCATGCTGTTCAGTAGCTAATGCTATAATTAATATCATGTTTTTTTTTTCGTAAGCCCTACACATTGCGTGATGTGCCTTTGGGGAGCGCAGGTGCTGGTTAGCGTGAGAGATTGGAGGTGGGGCGCGAGAGCGTGTGAAGAGGGTCAAATGCGAGTCTCACGCTCCGTGCGTGAGAGTTGGCAGCCCTGCTACATTGTGAATTGTTTGTGGCGGCACTTCGGTTCCTTCTCTTAATTTAAAAACTACCACTGGAAGTCAGTCTTGCAACACAGACTTGAAAAAATGTGCGTGTTACGAACCCCGAGTTCCCCGGCACTCAGCTTCTACTCCGCACCGTTTCCAGGACCATGGAGAGCGCCCGGCTCCCTGGCTTCTCTCACGCAGCTGACTCCTATCAGAAATCACCCAGCTGGAGCAGATAAAGATCAGCGCTGCTCAGCGAGAAAAGAGGGGAACGCACAGAGAGGAGAATGCACAGAGAGAGGATGCAGTGAGAGACGGATTGAGACAGTGAGGAGAGAGCGAAAGACAGAGAGAGACTGGAGAGAAGGATTGGAGAGAAGGACTGCTGAGAGAAAGACTGTGTTTGAGAACGTTTTGGTAACGTGACGGTTGCCCCTGGTTGGTTTGGTTTCCACCCTCATGAGAAAACCCTTTCGATTGAGCTTGGTTTTCTCCTGCTCTTAACAGAGCTGTCGGTAGTGTGGGTGAGTTGGTTCACCAGTGGACCTTTTGGTAAGGCTTCTGGGCAAGCTTCTGTTCCTGGTTTGTTTTCAGAACCAGTGAGTTTCCGTTCTCGTTTTATGCTCTTTAAGTTACTTTAAGCCCTCAGCATTTGTCTCCTGCAGCTTAAGTTAAACTCCCCTTTTAATTAAACAGGTTTTTCTCCCGTTGGAACGCTTTTAGTTAATAAAAGGACTTTCTTTGATTGTGACTTGGTGTCAGATCGTTTCCTTTTATTTCTCACGTTTCTGTGTTAGACGTCCCTGGCTCCTAGACCAGGTTGGGGTCATAACAGTGCGCCAGACCACAGCATATTTATTGCATGATCTCATTTTTCTGCTGCTTAAGTGCTGCAACAAGGTTTTATTAATAAGAACGTATTATACCTTTTGTTTTACTACAGCATCAGAAAGCTTCCTGTGCACAGATTATTAAGGATGCTTGTTTCAGCTGTGAGATTAGACGATAGGATAAAAAAAATAATTTGTCACGGACTCCATGGAAACTTTCAGAGAATCCACAAATAGTGGCTTTCAGATGGTTTTGTTACCGACAGATGTTTGTGAGTGTAGAAAAGAAGCGGATGAGACGACATGTCTGATCATTTTGTTTTTCGTCGGTCAATGTTAGAACATGTCAGTGATGGCTGAGGTGTTTTTATAAAAACTGTATAATTAACACTCCTGGACAGGGTAGGAATCACACAGAGGCTTCTGCGGGAACCCAGCGATGGTGGGGTGTTCTGTTTCGCCTTGGCCCCCAAAATGTCTTGAAACGGCCCTGGGTGTGTGACTGAGTTTTGAAGGTGATCTGAATTATATCAAATGTATAAATATTACATGTGTATAACATATTGTTTTATAAAACGTGTAGTGGAGATAAATCTACGTTTTACTTTTTAACACCTTGTTTTGTTTTCTTGTTTTTATTTAACTATTTCCTGTCCTGTCTGTCTCTCATCTTCCTGCATCTCCTCTAAACTCTCCAGAAAAATTGCTGCCTGGATTCTTACTTTTTCACCTCATCAGTTACTTTTGAGCAGATCAAAGGGATCTCCTGACCGCAAAGCGGAGAGCGCGTTTCGATGCTGCGTCAGTGAGGTGAAATCACTGCAGCACACGATGAGCGGAGCGCGTCAGGAACGATTAAAAGACAGAACACCAGAGGATATAAAACGATATGAACGATCATGTGTTAATAATAAGGTTTTGTTGCGCCACCTTGAGAATGTATTGTGCGCCGGACGCAGCGGGTGCACCAACGATAAGCGCTCTGCGTCCTCTCCGCTCCGCAGAACCCCGCTAGGCTGAGAGTCCATAAACAGGCACAAACTGGATCTTTCCCTGAAAGATATCTAGCCCACGTAACTCGATCCCTGCTCCTGGATGAAAAACCGGACATTTGGATCAATGTTGGACCCCCCCCCCCCCCCTCCCCCCTGGCAGAGAGTGAAAAGTGGACATGTCCAGGGGAAAGAGGACGTATGGTCACCCTACTCTGTATCCTAGTTTGCACGTGCATTAGAAAGCCGGCCTTTCAAATAAAGTTTGTTCCACTCCGGTACAGTAGGTGGCGACACATGCCTTTTCATGTCGGCATTCTTCCAGTTAGCTTATAGCAACACCAGCAGTAAACAGAGGCTGGTGGGAGTGAAGCGGATAGACAGGATATGCACAAAGGCTGAAAGAATGTACAACAACAGCGCTGCAGCACAGCTTATTTGGTTCGTACTGTCCTATTTTATGGTTTTACGCGTGTATCTTTGTGACGATGGTCTCGTCAGAAACCGCTTCCGCGTGTCATCAATTCAGGATCATGAGCGTCCTACTGGTTTAGCACTGCTGACCTGTTTACATGTAGGATGTAATCAGATTGCTACCGCATTATCAGGGTGCTTCAGCTTGATTAGAACCGGTCCGTCTTCAGCCAGACTAACGCGTTTACATGCAATTAAAAAAACAACAACGCCAGTCTTTTTAGGGCAATACTTCAGTTTTCTGATGCGCATGAAAACGTACTGAGTCACCAAAATTAATCAGTTTTTTTTAAGTTACTCCAATTGCCCAGAGTGCAAAATCAAATCTACATTTCCACTCAAACCTAATCTGCTTGTCCTTCCATGCAAATTAAATTATTGCAGCTACAAAATTCGAGTCAGACACTGAAATATATATTTTTAAAACGTGATGGAACTGAGTTAACCCTCCCACTATCTGGATGACCCCGCGAGGAAAGTTGACCATTGAGCAGGGTTGATGGTTTATCCCTTGAGGTCCACGTGGCAGGGGTGAGGTGGTGCTCACTTCTCACCCCTGCCACGTGGACCCAAGGGGTGAAGCATCAACCCTGCTCAATGGTCAACTTTCCTCGCGGGGTCACACCCATAAAGACAGTGGGAGGGTTAATATATAACTCTTGGTCTACTGTAGGGATTTACGATTTCCAAAATGTCTTCAACTGGCTACTGACGGTTAACAGCATTACACATGAACATTAATGTAAGATCATAAGCCAGGCTACAGCTGTGCTTTACCATAAAGTCGTCCTAAGTCTAAAATAGTGCCTGTGATGCTTCTTATGTTACTAATTATTTTAATGTGCAGTCAGTATGATTATGTAGTCACCACACACACACACACACACACACACACACACACACACACACACACACACACACACACACACACATCAGTACCTGTGTCCATGCTGTCCAGGTCCAGGTGGTGAAGAACACCCGATGAATCAGTCCCAGATCCTGAAGTGGTAGCAGGTTTTCTTTAGCCGTGTTTAGCTAACAGCTGCAATAGAAACAAAGCAGGAGAGCTGATTAAGATGCTGCTTCAGAACAACGCAGGAGATTAAAGATCCAACGCTTTGGTTCTGATCAGCTGAGGACAGATCCAGTCTGGAAAAGAGGACCTTTGGTCACCAGAGTTCACGGAGTAGAGCTAACCGCTTTTTCCTCCAGAGTCACATTCAGATTCGGGGCTTTTCCGTCGGAGAGTGTGAGCAGGATGGATCAGAGAGCGAGCAGCGATCCTGCATCATGACCAACTCAGATGAGCGAGTCTGAAAGAGGGAACCTCTTCAATCTGATGAAAGCAGCAAAACGAGCGCGTTTCTCAGAGAGGCCAAAGGAACAGCAGCAGATCCAGAGGGCAGGAAGTCTAGAGAAAAGCTTTTCTCACCCACAACCTGATTCTGGAGCTCCGATTGTCACGAAGACCGCAGAATATCTTCTCCGGTTCTGGAAAGAACTCCACCAAGTTGTTGAGGAGGAGAAGAAAGTTTCCACAGCCTGGTGAGAAGATTTCTGCAGCAGCAGTTAGTCGCTTTAGCTGATCAACTCTCCCAGAGACTGAAGTGAAGACATTTTTACTGCAGAGCCTCAAATATTCTCCTCACACACCAGAACAACAAGCTAGCTCTGCTAGCAGCTTCCGGTTTCTGCTTCTTCCGGTGGTCGGTGACCAGCGTGGGCTCGACTACCGCCACCTGCTGGAATCGAGTTTCACATCCGCTATACTGTTTTTTTATTATTTTTTTTAAACTGTTTTTTCCAAAATCCTGATAAAAATGTTTAAAAAAAAGTTTCATGATGTTCCATTCTCTAAATCTGAACAAATAATGTCATCCCAACACTCGTGTAATCAATACATTTGCAGTGGTCACCAGTAGGAATTGGTGCGGGGGGGGGGGGGGGGGGGGGGGGGGGGGGATCTCTGCAAGTGACACAAGCCTGGAGGAGCCTCTGCTGTGCAGTGGAGTTGCTTGTGCTAATAGTTAGCTTCTGCTTGCCGAGACATCAGCCACGTTCAACATGAGCCAGTTCTGTGCAGATTAGATCAGCGGTGATCGGCGAGCAGTGCATGCCAGTTAGATTTGTGGGCGACTTAACGCCAACTTGCTTTGACGTCGTGCCTACATAGCCAATGATAACCTCATGAGATCAAGGCGGCCGCAGATTTGAGCAAGGCGCTGCAGTTGCTCTCCACCGGCTGCAAAACCTAGGGCAGGGGTCGGCAACCTGTTCCCATCAAAGAGCCATTATTAACCGTTTCCCACAGTAAAGAAAACACTGGGAGCCACAGCAGCCGCGGCGTTGTGGGCGGGACCTACCCTCAGACAGCAGAGAGCTGCTTTGACCAATCACAACAGGTGACAGCAGCCAGTACCGGTCGCTCGTGTACGTCAAAGTTATCTTTCATAAGACGATAATCAATAAAACGATTTATAAAAAGTGGATCCAGAAGTTGTAGCCCGTCTCTGCCTACAATATTTTGATATTTTTCACCCTGTTGGTGGTTTTACTGAGCAGGTGCCACTTTGGTCACACGTTTCTTTTTAAAACATGTTAAGACTGTTCAGAATACAAATCCAGGCTCTGTCACGTTTGATTGTTGTAATTAAACTTTGTAGGTGGGGAAGGTCATAAAAGGATCCGATCAATTTGTTTTTCCCTCATTTACAGTGACGGAGATAACGACACAGTGCATCTGGCTCTGGTGGTAATCAAGTTTAATTATATCTCTTTGCAACAATTTTCACAAGAAAACAAAACAGTTAAAAGCAGGGCTTGTGTTGACAGGACAGTTCCTGCATTTGACCGTTTATTTTGACGGAGAAAGAATAGAAAGAATTACCCCGACGCATGCAGACGAACTGACATTTTATTCGTTATGCACATCGCAGATGTAGCTAAATGACTTAAGAAAAGATTCCCATCTGAACATCTGAGCTGGACACTGCTCAGCGCAGCTCACTGTCAGCACGGACGTAAGGTGCACAGCGAGCTGAAGATGTGGAGATTGGCTTGTAGCGCGTCGCAGAACCAGAGCGCATGCAGGAAGATTCCTCCGACTGAAGCGAGAGTTTTCCAAACCCGGTCTCTCAGAGAGACTTGTCACTTAGAAAATGTTCCCTGATTATGAAACTTTGGCTGAATGGCGCTTGTTCCTGTCTCCAATGTGGCGACGCATTCAGGAGCCTATCTGAGGAGAAGCCCATAATCTCACATCCTCGTCAGCTCAGGAAGCGCCTATGATTACGCACAAGCGTGACCCGTCAACCTCGGACCTGTTCAGGTTTATGCAGACAATCTTTGCATTTAGAATTGGCATGCACATATAAAATTTATGCACTAAAATATAAAGCATTTTATTTAAAAATCCATTCATTATTTTGCAAGCACAGAGAGCCGCGTCAGATGGATGGAAGAGCCGCATGCAGCTCCAGAGCCGCGGGTTGCCGACCCCAACCTAGGGCATGAAGGGAAACGCCTGGCTCTCACCTGATCTAAGATCTGATTGGTTCCCAGTTTGATCCAAACATCCGGTGGTAGAACGTGAAATGTTAGTTGGTCACATGTATTCTGTAAATCATGTAATGTTGATGATGACAACTATATAGGCCATGAAGAGAAATGTGATTTGTTTTCTTTTGCCACGTTTCCTATGAGCACACTAAACCTACAGCTGCTAACCTTTACTTATTATAACAGTCATATCTTCATATACAATAAATGATATCCACAAGCATGTGAGGATGTGTTTCAGTTGCTAACAGGCACCAGAATTAAAATTAAACCAGTCTGAACGCTAACGCAATATCTTCACCCATCATCACCCCCCCACCCCCACCCCCACCCCCCGTGAGCAGCATGTAGGGAAATCTGTCCGACTTAAACGCCGGCTTTCAGCCACTCCCCCTGCTACGTTTGTCTGCTGTCGTCTGTTTTCCAGGCGAGGCGCTGCTCATCCGGAACAAGGCCATTATTTACTTATTCTGGACGCTAAACAACAGGCTTCCCCGTCACAAGCCAATATGGGTATGTCCAAGCGCCGGTGTGACATACATCTGGCAGGATTTTCAAATCCTTCAGTTTCACCGTCTATATTCTATCAGAAGCTAATGCAGGAGATAGGTGTAGGAGACTATTTTCATGTTCAGCCTGCATGAAAAACTCAGGTGACAGATGTAGTGATACCTATGGTGGCTCTGCCCACAAGGGGGCAGTATTAGATAATCTATTTAAGGGTAGAGGTGAGCGTTGATGAGACGGTGATGTACAGCTGGAGAAGGAACACAATAAACATCTTTTGTGAAGAACCTGAAACTTGGTGCATACTTCCAGAAACATTACATGGTACCAGGAGTGGGGTTCAGCCATGGATAGTGTGCGGCCTCCAGACGCTGTTGTCTGGACTGGAACTGTGGATTGTGAATGGCGTTCGTTCAAGCAACGCTTCATGCTGTATTTGCAGGCTGTTGGCCTGGATAGCAAGCCTGATGTTCGCAAGATTGCTCTGTTGCTTACGGTGGCGGGACCCCGCGCTGTGGAGGTGTTTAATACCTTTGTCTTTGAGGATGAGGAGGACCGACACAAGTTTGACGTTGTGTTGCAGAGGTTTGACTATCACTGCTCACCGAAGAAAAATGAGACATTCGAGAGGTATGTGCTTCGTGCACGTTTGCAGCAGCAGGATGAAAGCGTTGATGTCTTCCTGACAGATTTGAAGTTAAAGGCACGGACGTGCAATTTTGGAATTCTTCAGGATTCGCTGATCAGAGATCAAGTTGTGTTTGGAATACATGATACGAAAGTGAGAGAAAAGCTGCTGAGAGAGACTGATCTTACGTTGATTAAAGCTGTGGATATTTGCCATGCGTGTGAAATAGCCCGGCACCATGTGAAAGCTTTTGGTGACGGAGCGGGGGAGCGGGGAATGGAGCCTGATGTTCAGTGTTGCCAGATCCAAAATCCCACAATATCGTACAGAGAGGCCTAAATTTTCGTTTTTCAGTACAAATTATCGTACATTTTAAATTTGATAATGACGTTCTATAAACAACTTCTCACTCCAATATAATATAACAAAGAAGGTGTTTTATATTGCCCTGTTTAATTAAACATTTTTAAAACCAGTAATATAAAGCCTATAAATGTGCAGAATGTGTCGGCACCACTCCGACCTCCACGCATTGACACAACATGCACATTTGCGCAGTCCTTTTTATGTCATTTCTACATAGGTTAAACGCACGCGACAAAACATCACAGCAGTGGAAAAACTGGCCCAATAAATGACAAAGCAGCCTACTCACCTAGTTGCTGATCTCGATCTCCTCATCTGATTCACTGTCTGTTGCAGCAGAATGCCTTTAATCACCTGTACTAAGTGGTCTGTGCTTCTCTTTGCAATGTTGTGCTGGGCTAAAAAGCCACATAGCTTGATTTCAGCATTTTTCACATCATTTTCAAACTTCTCTTTTTCATTAGTTTGCTGGAGACATTTAAGTATAGATGTCTGGTTTGGTGCAATGCAGTTTACCCTTTCTTTGTGTTTAGCTCCCTTTGCATGATTCTAGAGAACGGTGATTTCTGATACCATCTGGATGTTGCAGCAACGACAGAAAGCCTTGGTTTCGTTCCCCGTAACAGGTGCAAGCCATCCTTTGAAAATAGGGTCCAACTCCCACGCAGAACAAAAACTTGTGTCCGGTGTTGCTTTGCTTTACCTTCATCCGTCCCTTCTCTGGTTTTTCTTTTAAGATTAGAAGCCATTGTCTCGTTGCTCTGTCCTCCTAGATTAGACTTAACTCGGCGCGCTCGCGGGCAAACAGCAACAACTGGCGGGCCACTGCCACATTGTATAACCTTATGGTTTCTCGCGAGAGTAGGCCCTATCGATGTGATTGGGCTATTGATTGTACAGATCCAGAGTCAGTTTTTGTAATAGACACAATAGCATAAACCTGTAAGCACTGAGGTGAAACCTGACTTCAGAAGAGTTTAAAATTATGTAATTGACTTGGGAAAGCCACAGCAAAAGACGGTGTTACTAGATGCAATGTGAAATTATCGTACATTTGAGGATTTTTGAAACTATTGATCGTACATCGTACAGAGCCCAAAATTATGGTACAAATACGATAATTATCGTACATCTGGCAACACTGCTGATGTTGCAGCTGTTTCATGCCAACGGAAATATGGACAGGACAAGGAGAGGTTGTTTTCCTGTCGAAGATGTGGGACGCGACATGCACTGAGACAATGTCCCGCATTTGGCAGGATATGCAACAGCTGTAAAGGATTTAATCATTTTTCCAAATATTGCTTTTCTAAAAAGAAGCCTGAGAAGCGTGATCCTGTACACACTGTGGAAGAAGCTTCCCTGAGCGAGACTTTCTTTGTGGGTCTTGTGGAACGTGATGCTGACGTGTCTCCATCTGCTGTGACGTGCGGCGTGAAGGTGGATAAATGGACAGTGCCACTGCTTGTGAATGGAACTGTTTTTCCTGTGAAGTTGGAAACTGGGGCGAAGGCTAATTTGATAAATGAGCGTGATATTGAAGCCATGGATGTGAAACCGCTCATTCGTCCGGCATCTAGCACCCTCAAAGCCTACAATGGCCAATCCATCGTCACCAAAGGCAAG